ACATTTCCTGTTGAGCTCATTGACTTCAGCATTCTGTCCATGGTCTTCTTCCATCATTAATGTTCACTGAGTCGCATCTGTTCCTGATCTGTTCTGGAAATTCAGATGGGATAGACTCAAGGGCATATTTTGCCTCTCGTGGGCTCGTTTTCATTTTACTCAGCTTTATCCTGAACTTACATAGAAGCAATTGATGGTGTGTTCCGCAGTCGGCTCCTGGTCTGGTTTTAGCTGCTGATATACAGCTTCTCCATCATCCATTGGATTCCATCTGGTCAGGCCCACTGGGTTGATTCTGACTGACCGTGACCCTGTCAGAGAGTGTCCAACTGTTCCTTAAGGCTTCTGAGACTGGAACTTTTTATAGAAAAGAAGAGATCCTTGTGTGCAAAGGGATGAAGTCCTTGGTCTTGCAAAATGCTATCATGTCCCCTCCAGCTTCATTTCTGTCACCAAGAGCATATCTTCCAACAACTGATCCTTTCTCATGAACAAAAATGCTAAACAGAATTTTAGCCAATCAAATCAAGCAATATTGATATTAAAATATCACACATTATGACTAAGCGGGGTTCTACCCAGGAATGCAAGGCTGCTTCAATATTTGAAAATCACTCAGTGTAATTAGCCATATTAGCAGGGGAGAAAGCTAAATGAAAACAAACCGAATCATCTCAACAGGAAATGTTCGATCCCAATCCGTGACAAAGCTCTTGGCCAGTTGGAGACAAAGGACCATTTTCTGCAGCCTGATAAAGGGCATCTATGAAAAACACACAACTGTCCTTAAACGATGAAAGACTTACTCATCCTCTCATACGATCAGGATCAAATCAAGGTATTGGCAATCCCAAACCTCACTGCCATCAAGTCAATCCTGATTCATGGGTGTCCAAGGGTGTCAATACTTATGGGAGTAGAAAGCGTCGTCTTTGAACTGCTGGCCTTGCGGTTAGCAGCCCAATGCATAAGCCACGACACCGCCAGAGTTCAGCTAGTGCGATGGCACAGGAAGAAGGAAGAAAGGACAGCTGGCTCAAATCTTGAGCAAAAACTCCTAAGTTATACACAAACCAAACCGTCAAACTAGTAAGTGAATTTAGCCAGGTTGCAGGCTAGTCGATATAAAAAATTAACATTTCCATACACTAGCAATGAATAATCAGAAATGAACGTTCTAAAGTATCATTTACAACATACGCACTACTCAGAGAAAAGCTGTGGCAGAAATGTTGCTGAGAAATGAACAAAACGCAAAGAAATGAGAGAGAGCGAGAGCGAGCATACTCAGAAATTGTTATCATGCCGAGGTTCACCACCTCTGTTCCCTTTACATTCAACGCGATCTCAGTCAAACTCCCAGCAGGTGTCAAGCCCCGTAGACTCCCCACCTGCAGCCTCGGCCAACTCTCCATCGTCCTCACCACGCGCAACCTCTGGGAGCATCTTATTGGTCGTCACCCCTTCCTGGGACCAACGAACACCGTTTCATTTTGTAGCTTAGCTCCAAACCCTCAACCTAGCATGAACTCTCAGGGCCGACAGAATGATTCCGCGAAGCTGAGGCCGGCACCACCCACCTGGAGAACCACTTCCTGGCCGAGGAGGTGAAACTGTTCAAGAAGAGGAGTGTCCACTTGACCTGCCGCCACAGGTTGGCCAGCCCCCAGGCGCACCCTGGAACATGAGCCCCCCCCCTCCCCCTGCTGGCCTCGGTCCCTTTGTCTGAACCTGTCGCTCCAGTCGCATGGCCACGACCTGGAGGCCCTGTCCCTAGTCCGGGACCAAAGGGAATAAGAAAGGTTTCTTTTCGAGCAAAAAGAAGAAGAACGTCAGCAGGCTTAGTTTTCTGAAACTGACAAACTGATTCCAAAGTTCCTGTGGAAATGCAACTCACCTAAAAGAGCCCACATGACTTTGCAAAAGAAGAACAAACTTGGGGGGAGGGACGGGACTTGTCTGAGACCTCCTGTAAATCGACATTGATCAAGGCAGCGTGGCACTGGCATAAGGAGAGATTATAGATCAATGGAACAGAAGGAAGAGTCCAAAAACAGACCCCTGCCCAGAAGGTCCATTGATTTCCCCCAAAATAATTCAGTGGGGGGAAAAGAATCTTTGGAATCATTGGGCTTGGAACAACTGGATATCCACATGCCAAAGAACAAGCCTCAACCTGTACCTCACACCATATATAAAAGTTAACTCAAAAAGGATCGCGAACCTAAATTCAAGAGGTAAAAACAGCAAGCTTCTAAAATCACAGCAAACTGTCTTAGTGGCAACGAATTAGGCAAAGACTTTTTAGATCAGGCACAAAGTAACATAATCCATTAAAAATTGGTCGATCAGACTTTAATCAAGATTAAAAAACGAGCCAGCCTGGCACGGGGTCCAGGTCTCTTCATCCCCGCATGCCCCACTGGGCCCAGCAGGCACACTTGGCGGTTGTTGAACAAAGAGTTTCAGGGAGCCAGGTGGATCTGGACCCGCCCCCTCTGCCCCATTGGCCGGACCCATCCTCCCTACTCAGACACTGGGTTTGGGGAGCAGGACCCACCCATTAGCCACCCACAAAGAAGTCAGGGGAGAGCTCCAGAGGCTGGCTGGCCACTGCCTGGTGCCAGGCCCTTCCTCCACCTTCCAGATCTGAGCTCCCAGCATTCTCTCACCACAGCTTAGGGGAACCCTCCCTCCTCCTCCTCTCCACGACCCAAACCCCACCATTCGCTGCCTGGGCCCCCCACTACTGCCCCTGCCCCGGGTGGTGGCAGGCTCAGGGCAGGCACTCTTGCTGATTCACTGCTCCTGTGGCCCCGCCTGCCACTTGGCACTAGAAAGACCTGCATTGGGGACACCCCCCCAAACCACCCCCCACCCCCGAGACAGCAGGGAAACCCAGACTGCAGGAGCAGAGGGACCCAGCACTGTGTGGCCAAGGGCTGGTTCTGGGCAGAAAAACCAGAAGGAAATAGTGGCCCTTGGACCCCAGAGGCTGGCCCCATGCTCCAGAAGGTTCGGCTCTAGCTTGCAGCCAGGCACTCGTGTGACAAAGAACCTCGCAATCTTCATGTCTGTGTGCCTCAGAAAATCCTTCCTGTGCAACCCCCAGGGATCCTGGGGTCCTTGGCCTCCGAGGTGGGCCCCTGCAGGGTAAGACACATGCAGGATTTGTCCTGGGGGGACTTCTTCCCAGGGCTCAGTTTACCCGTGAGTCTGCTCTGCTATGCCTGCGGACTTTGTTGCCTACCATTTTTGTTGCTGTGGATGGCATGAGAAAACCTTTCATTCTCTTTGATCATAATCTCCAGTGGCGACAGGGGTGCTGTGCCCCTGGAAATGTATGGGGAGTCTCCCACCAACCTCCAGGTGGGTCAGCGCAGCCAGCACGAGAGTGCACATCTGTGTTTCTGTGCATATGTGTGTGGTGTATGTATGTATGACCTCTGTGTGTGCTCTGATCCCACACTGGGTGGGGCAGGACACGGAAGGGTGCCATGCCTGCGTTCATGTGGTATGCATGTGCATCCATGGACATGGTGTGTTTTGTGTAGATGTGCAAGGGTGTGGTGTGTATACATGCACATATGTGTGGTGTACGTGTGTATGCTGTGGTGTGTACACGTGGGTATGATGTGCATCTATGCATACCATGTGTATTGTGTACAGATGTGTGTCAGTGGTATGCTGTGGGTATGTGTATACATGTACATGCTGGGTGTGGGGTGTGTATAAACACATGTGGGAGTGTCATGTATGCATGTGTAAATGCTGTGGGGGTGTTCACATACACACTGTAAGCTATGTGTATACATGTATGTGCTGTAGCTGGGGTGTACTTGTACATGCTATGTGGAGTGCTGTGCGCATGTATATGCTGTGGGGGTTGGGTGTATATGTGCTGGGTGTGGCATACATCATGTACATAATGTGTGGTGCATGTACTGTAGGGGGGGTGCATGTATGTAATACTGTGGGGAAGAGGTGTGCATGTACATGGTAGTGTGGGTGGAAGGGGTGCATGTACATGCATGTGCATGCTGTGGTGGTATACACATGGACATGATACTGTGGAGGGGGGTGCCCATGTGCATGCTGTGGGGTGGGGTGCACATTTACGTGGACACGCTGTGGGGGGGTGTCAAGGGGCAGGGGGTAGCTGAAGGTTCTGGGAGGGAGGAGTGCTGGCAACGGGTTCAGGGAGAGGCTGTTGGGTCCCTGGCCTTTGGGTTGACCAAGAAGACGGACAAACAGGAAGGCAGGCCAGTCTCTGACTGGAGCCTGCCCATGGGCGGGCTGTACTGGCCTAGGTTGAACCCTGAACCAGCCCGACCTGCAGGGAGGAAGGGCTGGAGGGGAGAGGAGGGGGAGTGGATAGGGAGAAGTGGGGCCCCTGGGGCTGGGCTGGGAGAGGAGAGGGGAAGGATGGAGCACAGAATCTGTGTGCTCAAGGGCATGAGAGCCAGCCAGCCATTCCTGGAAATGGGCCTGCCTCAGGCAAGCTCCGGAAGCCCCTGCCTTCGAGACAGGTAGCTGCAGGCGGGTGAGGGAGGTGGAGGGTGGGGCTCCTGCTCCCGCTGGACCTTGGTGAGGAAGGCAGATCTCAGGGGTACATTAAGCCCTGGCTGGGCCCCTGCCCCCCTTCCTGTCCTTCCTCTCCGGCCAGGCCCTAATTGAGGAGAGGGAGGGGCTGATGGCCTGTGAGGGGGATTGTGTCTTCGCTCCGGGACGCACAGGGCTCACTCTTGGATCCAGGGAAGGCCATGGGGTCCTGGCCTCAGTTTCTCTGCAGGTGGTGAAAGGCCCCAGGATTGGAGAAAGGGAGTCTGGGGTTGTGGATGGGACAGGCCTGGCCAGGGCACTGCAGGCCAGGAACTGATTTCCCGGTGGCCCAGGAGGGAGGGTGGGGGAAGGGGGGGCGGGGCCGGGTAGGAAGTCCCCCTTTAAGCAGGTCACTCCCAGAACTGGGGCGGGGCTGAGTCACAGTGCAGATCAGAGAACAGGGCCATAGTGCTACTGCCAGGCCACCCAAGAGCTGGGGAGCCCAGTCAGGTGAGGGGGACTGGGGTGGCCAGGGACCCAGGAGGGTGGGGGCTAGGAGTGTCTAGGCCCACCACAGGCCTCACTCACGGGCCCGGTCTGGGTGGGTGCTGGCGCCGGCTGGTCGCCCTGGTGTCCATCAGTCCGTCCATCTCTGCCCATTTGTGGCTCCCATTCCGTCTCTCCTGACAGCCCCCAAGCCCACACAGGCCCCTATTGGCAAGCACTCTGACGGGCACCTTCCAAAGGTGCTCAGAGCTGACCCTGTGACCCAACATGCTCAAGGCTTCCCCCACCTCGGGTAAGGTGCCAGCTGGTGAGGGGGTTCGGCGAGGGCATGGCCCTGAAGGCAAACCCACACCCACCTCGCTTCCCAGGTGATTCTAACTCCACCTTTTCTCTCTCCACCCCTGACCAGCCGAGCCTGGGGCCCTCTCCCCCCCCAGGGCCCCTGGCAACAGCAGCACGGAGCTGGAGCCCCGGGACCCGCTGCTGGCCCGGGCGGAGCTGGCTCTGCTCTCTACTGTCTTTGTGGTGGTCGCTGTGAGCAATGGCCTGGTGCTGGGAGCCCTGGTGCGGCGGGGCCGGCGGGGCCGCTGGGCGCCCATGCACGTCTTCATCAGCCACTTGTGCCTGGCTGACCTGGTAGTGGCCTTGTTCCAAGTGCTGCCCCAGCTGGCCTGGGATGCCACCGACCGCTTCTGGGGACCGGATGCCCTGTGTCGGGCCGTGAAGTACCTGCAGATGGTGGGTATGTATGCCTCCTCCTACATGATCCTGGCCATGACCCTGGACCGCCACCGTGCCATCTGCCGCCCCATGCTGGCCTACCGCCATGGCAGCAGCGCACACTGGAACCGACCGGTGCTGGTCGCCTGGGCCAGCTCACTCCTCCTCAGCCTGCCGCAACTCTTCATCTTCGCCCAGCAGGACGTGGGCACTGGCGTCCTGGACTGCTGGGCCCGGTTTGCCCAGCCCTGGGGCCTCCGCGCCTATGTCACCTGGATCGCCCTGATGGTGTTCGTGGCCCCGGCCTTGGGCATCGCCGCCTGCCAGGTACTCATTTTCCGGGAGATCCATGCCAGTCTGGTGCCCACAGAAAGGGCTGGGGGACGGCGTGGCGGGCGCCGGCTAGGTGGCCCCAGCGAGGGAGCCCGGGTGTCGGCAGCCATGGCAAAGACTGTGAGGATGACGCTGGTGATTGTGGTTGTGTACGTGTTGTGCTGGGCGCCCTTCTTCCTCGTGCAGCTGTGGGCAGCGTGGGACCCAGAGGCGCCTCTGGAAGGTGGGTGCAACCACATCCCACGCCCAGCAGGGGGCCCTGTGTGCACCCAGAGGCCCCTGAACCGCCGCCTCTACCTCTCCAGGGCCCCCTTTCGTGTTGCTCATGCTGCTGGCCAGCCTTAACAGCTGCACCAACCCCTGGATCTACGCCTCCTTCAGCAGCAGCGTCTCCTCAGAGCTGCGCAGCCTGTTCTGCTGTGGCCGGGCACGTGCCACCCCCAGCCTGGGGCCCCAGGATGAGTCCTGCGTCACAGCCAGCTCCTCCCTGGCCAAAGAGCCATCCTTCTGAGGAGCCCGTGGGACGAGGGGGCCCTCGGGGTTGGGCCAGTGCCCTGTGAGACCTTCCTTCCTGGCTTCTGGGGGGCCCTCCAGCCAGCCCTCTGCAAGTCCCCCTTCCTCGCTAATAAACTTCTGCTCGTATGCTTGTGTGGTGAGGGTCTTCTTGAGGTCTGGTCAGCGGGTGTATGGGGGTGGCACCACAGAGACAGAAGAAGACTCCCCCATTACCCCCCCCAAGATTTTGGCGCCGCTCTTGAACACACCAGGTTCCCCACCCTCGAATGCCAGAGGGACCACCAGTGCCAAATCTGCTGCCCATGCCCACCTGCCCAGCCCCCCACCGCCCACAACAGAGCACTGACTGGCATGGAAGAATCACAGGACCTTTATGAGTCGTGGCAGCTCCCCCACATTTCCCTCCCACAGGGACCCAAGCCAGTGCTGGGCCACCAGGGAGGGGCGGTCACTGGGAACAGCCTGTGGCCTTCTCTGCACCGAAGGGCTGACTGGGAGGGGCAGGGAGAAGCAGGTGGGTGGGAAGAGTGAGTTTCAATCAGCCACTGGCACTCATCGTGGTTTGCTGACCCAATCAGGACCCTGAGGACGGGATGCCGAAGGGGAGGCTGGGGAGGCTGGGGCTCCAGGGCTGTGGGGGGAGCCCTTGCTCTTGCTAGGCCTGCTGGAACTGGGCGACAGGGGCCCAAGGCCCTGGCGGACGGCAGCCTTCCCCAAGAGCTCCTTGAACACCGAGTCCATGGTTTGCGCCACGCTCTGGGGAGACAAGGAAGGGCTCACTCTCACCCGGGGCCTCCAGAGGCTGGGAAGTACGGTTCCTCTGGCTAGCCCCAGGCTCTCCTCTGGTTGCATCCACACCTTCCCAGTCTTGTCCTCTTCTCTGCCCCACCCCTCCTCCAGTGTCCCCAGGGCCCAGCTCTGACTCGGAGCTTGATCCCAACCATGGAAGCTGGGAGGTAGTGCTGCTCCAACCTTTCTCCATCTGTCCCTGCAACTCTGGGTGGCCCTGGCACAGCCAGGCTGAGGGCCTTTAGTCCCCTCATCCCTGTCCCTTTGCCCCCTTCTTATCCCTCCTCTCCCCCAGCCCCCCACTGGCGGGGCAGGGTGCGAAGACCCATTCAGCGGTGAGGGAGCATTGTACAGCTCTGCACCTTGTCTACATCCACCTGTCGGTCTGGGGAGGCTGGGACAAGGCAGTGTCGTCTGTACCCCGAAGTGCCCATGGTCTCCAGTGGTGTGCTCGCCTCTGGCCTGTAGGACACTAGAAGTGAGGCTCCACGTCTCCCCCCAAAGGGCCCCTCTTCACCTGCCCACTCCATTGGGTCTCACCGATTGCTAGACTCCACACCGCTGTCCCCTGCGGCCTGCAGCCCTTGACCTGCCAGAAGTTTCTCTGCCCTGGGGTCAGAGTGGGCTGTCAAGAGCACTGGTTCTCAGCCGGACCCATTGGATCTGACACCGGCGGGTGGGGTGGGGGGCGCAGGCACTTTGGAGAAGAGCTGGACACAAGCCCCCGCCCTCCTGCCCCTGGACTGTTGCGTGAGAGGGCAGGCCAGGGAGGCCACACTCACCTGGCGGGCAGCAAGATGTACCTGTGGGGGATGAGTCCTCGTACGCCCCCACACTCGCCTCGCCACCAGTCGTCTGAGGCTCGGGCGTGTAGCCGCAGTACGTCCCCCTTCTGGAATGTCAGCTCCTGGGCCGTGCGGCCCGTATAGGCAAAGCAGGCCACTGCCTCCACTACCCCCTCCTGGTCTGGGGGGATAACAGGGCCTTGGGAGGGGTTGGAGTGAGCACTGGACTGGGAGTGGGGACCCTCCGCCCCATCCTCACCATCCTCCTGCTCAGTCTCCCCTGCCACGCTGTCCAGCTGTCCATCCCTATCCGAAGCAGATGACCATGAGTAAGGTGGACCCCAGCCCCATGGGAACCCCCCACCTGGCACAGCGGGCATACCCTAAACAGCTGGTAGAGGGTGGGGCCATGCACTTCTCGTAGACGGGCCCAGGCAGCTCGGCCAGGCCCGGGAAGTGGGCCATGGGTTGCATGATGAGGGTCTGCACCAGGCGGTTCACCCGGCCCTGCAAGGCCACGGGGTCCTGGTCCGCAGGCACGGGCAGCAACGTTGGCCCAAAGCACACAGCCAGGTTGTAGGGGTCCATCATGTTCTCGTCGCTGTACTGGGCCAGGCTGCGGACCAGCAGGGTCACGGCAGGAGCACCCATCCCCACCTGCCCACCATCCCTGGGTGCCCTTGCCCCCAATACTCACTGGTTGAGGAAGGTGAAGAGATAGCGCAAGACCACCAGGATGGGCCCAGGCAGCCTAGCCAGAAGGCGACCCACGAGTTCTGCCTGCTCGGTCGTGTCCTCCAGCTCTGTGGCCATGGAAAGAGGCATGGGAGTGGGCCCCAGCCACTGCAGGTGGTCCCCATGCCGCCCAGCTTGGGCCTGCCCTCACCTGCGGAAGCCAGCAGCTCGCTGAACAGATCTGGGGGGAAGAGGGGAGCCTCCAGGCTCCGGAAGTAGAGCTTCAGCACTCCGGCCACGGAGTCCAAGTCTTGGGGCCCACAGCCTTCCACCAGAGGGTCCTCCCCTATGGAGGTAGGGGCACAGCTCAGAGCCTGCTAACGTTCACACCCACCTACCCCACCCGCCGGCCTCCCCACCTCTCTCAAAGGCTTCCCGAATCTCCGAGATGCGGGGCTGGGCGCCTGACACCCGGAAGACGCCTTCATGCTGGAGGCCTGTGGGGAGCACAGGGGCTGTGGGCGTGGGGACTGTGTGCTGGGCTGGGGGGGCAGGGAGGGGGAGTGCTAGGGCCGCACCCTTACCATTGAGGTTAATGAAGCGGATACAGCTCTCCACTACCAGGGGCACAGGTTGGCCAGAGCTCTATGGGCACAGAAGGCGTTTACCTGGCACAGCCAATCTTTAGGGCATAACGACCCTCCACCCCCCTCTGGAGAGCCTTAGTGGCAATGGTGGCTGACGCACAGGGCCACTAGCCACGAGGTCGGTGATTTAATCTCATCAGCCGCTCCTAGAGAAAGAGGGGGTCCTGTGCTCCCACAAAGATTGAGAGCCTTGGAAACCCCCTCTCAGAGTAGGAATGGACTTCATTGACGGCTGTGGGTGGGGCGAGATGAGGATCAAGGGGGCCACAGGAAGCCATCTGACTGGGGCAAGTGGGGATGGAGGCATGAGAAGCCAGCGGGCACCTGGATGAACTTCTCCATGTTTCCCCCGAAGAGCTTCTGGTTGTACTGCGAGCAGGGGCGGGGGTGACGGTTCCTCTGGGCTCGCTGGGAGCTCTGAACCCTGTAGTGAATGGAGGGCCTGCAATTCTGCCCGGGGCCACTGGAGACCCAGAGCCAGAAGGCTGATGCAGCTAGGAAGGGACCTTGTACCCAACTCACCGGGGTTCCTTGCGCTCCTCTTTGTCCCCTGGAAGGAAAAGATGTTGGTTAGCTGCATAGAGGGAAAGGCCAAATACCTTGCTGGTCTACTTCCTACATGGTCATCAACCTCTCTGGGCAGGAAGGAGCAAGGGTTGGGGAAAGGAGGGGCAAGGGCAAAGCTGGGGATGGGGTGGAGCAGGCCCACCTCGTTGGACAGCCTCCTGCAGTTGTTCGTGCTTGGCCTGTAGCTTGGCAAGGACACTCCGGCCACTCAGATACTCCTGCAGCTTCTAGAAAGGCTGAGAGTCAGCCCACATGCAGCCCCACCCCCCACCCCCAGCTCCCTGCCCACCTGGCCCAGCCTCCCCTCCCACCGCAATGTAGAAGGTCTCTGTCTCCTGCTGCTGGCCACGCCTGCGCCCAGCCTGCCGGCTGCCTGGGTCTGAGCCCGTGGACTTGAGGGACTCTGTGGAAGGACTGGCCTGGAGCGAGTCGAGCATGTCCCCATCATCCGATCCTACCAGTTCTAACAGAGCCTGCAAGGTGGCTTTCAGCGTCTTGTTTACCTGGGGAGGAGACAGCATAAGGGTGGGAGGCCAGAGGAAGCCGAGGAACCTGGGAGGGAGGCCAGGGCAGAGAAGGGGTCCCCAGCCCTCACACCTCCTCCGTTTCAATGGTCTGCCGGCTCAAACGGCTCCGGATATTCTGGGCCCTGGGCAGTACCTCGTCCCACAGCTCCGCCTCAGCCTGGATCTCAGCCACCTGCAGGGGACCAGGGTGCCACGGGTTATTTCACCGGGTCCTGACAACTAGTATCTACTGGAGAGACTTGACGGTGGAGACCCACCGGAACTGTAACCCTCAAAAGCCAGGTAATGTCCGTCACAGACTGAATGGGCAGGCATGGGGTCAGAAAGAGAACTGGCATCCTGATGAGCCTCAGAAACAGGAGGTGAGAATACAGTCCATGTTCTCGGCAACCAGCAAGTAAAAGTGAGGGTCAAACCCCACTGAGGGAGATGAGTTAGCTTCAGAGCGAGGAGGGCAATTCCTACTTGCTGAGATCCAGATGTGACAGCTAAAAACATTTACAAATTTCCCAACTTAGAATAGACTAGAACCCATTGGATGGTGTTCATCAAAAGGGGAGATTCCACAGTGTGTGATTTGTGTCTCTGAATCTCAATAAAGCTGTTAATCACAAAGCCCGGCCAGCAGGGTGGCTGGGGCCTGAACCAGAGAGGGCAGGCCAACCAGATAAGGCAACTGCTCATTTACATTGGCCAAAAATTGCTTTCCCTGTGGTCAAGGGGCACAGCTCACCCCGTGGACAGAGCAGGAACAGGAAATGGCTTCCAGAAGTGAGACTTCCTCTCCTGAATCCTGAGAGATCTGACACACACCCAGCAGGCCAAGCACCCTCTCCTGCACTGCCCTCTCCTCACTCAGACCTGCATGCAGCAGAGAGCAAGCAATGGGTTGGACCTGTGTGCATGTGTGTGCGTGCATTGTGTAGCCAGCTATCAGCTGGCTTTGGTATTCTCCTGTTGGACGTAAATAGTGTCACAGAGCCTTGGCATCAGTCAAAGCTACTCTGACCAGTGAGTGTGACTGACCTGGGCTTCTTTGCAAAGCACAGCTTCAGGCGCACTTCACTCCTTGGAGATCAGATGCATTCCGCCGCCCCTGATGGGACTGCCCACCCTACCCAACAGCAGGCCACCCCATGGGAGACCCTGCACAGCTCTGGCGTTCAAGATCATCGGTGGATGTATCTCCCAGCCCTCTCACTCCACTGTACTCCCCTAAACTGGCAGCCAACACGGGGTGGGAGTGGGGGTGTCTCCCAACCAAAGAGCTGAGTTCCTGCCAGGCAACCCAAGGAGAAGTCCACTGAGTGACCAAACCAAAAAATCAACTCACTACCATCAAATTGATGCCGACTCGCACTGACCCTGTAGGACAGGGGAGGGCTGCCCGCGAGTAGCTGAGATTTTAATTCTTTTTACTGGACTAGAAAGTCCCGTCAGAGCAACTGATGATTTCAAACTGTTCACCTTGTGTTTAGCAGCCTAACGCTAAACTACTACACCCCCAGGCCTCCTTCTGAAGGACTTGGAGCATCGAAATAGCTTCTGAACCGTCAGCCAGCAGCTGAGAACTGGAAGGAAGTGGAAGGAAGTTCTCAAACAAGAGAGATCAAAGCAAGGTTTAAAAAAAATTAACGAGCAGCAAGAAAACAGCGAGTGTAGGAAACAGAGGGGAATAACAAGAAAACCAGCGAAATGACGGCGGCACCCTAACTGCCCATCAGGGACAACTGGATTAACAGACTTGGGTGCAGACCCCGGGAAACTCTTCATGACCTATACGGAGTGAAGTTACTCCGTCACAAAGGCACACAGACTGGAAACAGCTTTTGCTGCTGGTTACCAGGGGTGGTCAGGGAGGCGGGGCTAGAGGCTCAAGGGGAGGTGTGTGTATGTGTGTGTGGGGCTGGCTGGGGTGAACCAAAAGGAAGATCAAAAAACATGGGGTGAGGTCTGACAAGTTGATGACCTGAAATGTAAGCCCCCACCTGATGCCCAATAAAAAGTTGTATTTAATTTTTAATATAAGGATTAAATTTTGTATATAAATTTTACTATAAGGATTAATATTGTATACAACAACAAAGGTGACCATTTTGAGAATATTTGAGAAGCTACTGCTTTCAGAAAATAAGAGCCAAAGGCTATTTTAAAACAGGAACTCAAAGAACAAACCCGACCTCCCACAAGTAAAACCATGAAAGGGGGAAACACAAGAAAGATGGAAGATAGAGGTGGAAACCCCTCTGAGAGAGAAACCAGCCCAGAAAATGAGAGAACCACCCCAGGAGGTCAGCAGTGGGAATTACTGAGAGAGAGAATCACTTGAAAGGGATTTTCAGCCTTGAACCCTAAACCCTGTCACACCGTCAATGGTTCTAGTGAGAGAGAACACCGACCTGATATCTGGGGGACCCCACAGGATGGCAGAGAAGCTCAGCACTCAACCAATCTGGCTGTGGGTCTGAGTTAGTGAGCAGCATACAGAAAGTGCCACTCCCTTTCTAAGGGAAGGAAGCTATTCATTCCCGAGACAGTGTTGAGAGGAAACATAAGAAGAGCACCAGGCTCAGCTCTGAGTGAGCTTGTTGTCATCACCACTTAAACACTGGTTGTCGGCTCAAAAAATGCTGGGCTGACTTGGTTGAGAGAAGGGAAAGCAGGGGTGGGCGGATGAGGAGAGGGCGATGGTAGGCTGCAGCAGGGTGTCTGCAGAGCACAGCGGCTAGATGGGGGAGTGGGACCCAAGAGCGGGGCGAAGCTGGGTACCAGTGGAAGCGTGGATCCCATTGCCTTTCAAAACCACGTGCTTGCTTTAAGCAGACCAAAACATAAAGGAAACAAAGAAAAGTGCAGGTCGCTCCAGTGACGCAGCCTGTAGCCCAGGCCAGATCTGATGCCTAGCACAAGAAACCGGGCGCAAGAAAGAGGCTGCCTGATTGCATCTTGCTGTGTGTGTGGTTGACTGGCCCCTGAGCTTCCTATGAGCAACTGAATTACAACGTACTGACAGGCTGAAAGAACAGGACACCCATCTGCGTACACCCTGCACCTAGCATAAAGATGTGCATGTATCTCCAAAGATGCTGAGCACTGGTTTGGTTGTATCTGAAACTTTTCTCTGTTCCTGTCCTTTTAAAGCAGTAAAGCCTACTGTGGCAGTAACCCCTCCAACTCCCTTGGGTTTTTGGAAGCAGATTGCTACGCCTTTCTCTCAAGGGGCTTCTGAGTAGAACTGACCCTCTACTCTTCTAGTCAGCAGACAAACCTCGGGGACTCCTGTCCCTTCGCCCAACAGGGAGCCGAGGCCTCACCTCGTCCCCTTCGTGGGGCTGGTAGTCGAAGCGCAGTGGGGGACAGAAGGCAGTGGCATGCAGCTCCAGCACCTTGGCCTTGTCCCCTGGGGGGTCCAGTGCCTCCACAGCCTCTTCCAGGCTGCCCAAGCCCTGCAGTTGGGAGGCCTGCGTGCGGCTCTCGGCGACCGTGTAGCTCCGGAGCAGCTGGCCTAGGGCCAGGTGGAACCCTGTGCCGCAGCACTGGGGGAGGAAGGAAGGAGACATCTGGTGGTCCTAGGGCATGCTCTCGGCCCCGGCTCCGGCCTCCCAGAGCCCCAGGACTCACATCCATGAGGTCCAGCACGTCCTGCAAGTAGTAGTTTCTAACGGCTGCGTTCACACTGGCCAGGCTGAGCAGGTACTCGTTCCGAGCCTTTGTGCACTTGACCTTGTGCTCCAGGTACTTGGCCTGCCGCTGCCCACACAACCAGCTGGTGAGTGTCCAAGGCCACTCACAACATCCACCCTCCCTTTCCCCCGAGGGCAGCCATACTGTGACATGCTATGGGGTCCTCCTCTTGTCTTGACCTCCCCGCCCCTTCCCATGCCGTGGGACCACACCGGCTCCCGCACCCAGCCCCGGTGAAGGTGTGACCACACTGCAACCAACCAAGGGCAAAGGCCAGAGAGGAAGGGACGGGTCCTCACAGGCTGGCAGCACTGATGGCAGCAGCCAGGGAACACTTGACAATGTCCGATACCCTCTCTGGTCGATGAACCACAGACAGTCTTTCTCCTCCCATGCAGGGGGTGGGTGCTTTCTTAGTCAGTGCTCCCCAGCATTCTCCCCTCCTCACAGCCCCCAGAGCTGGAGACAGGCAGACCAAAGCAGGTACCCTCCAGACCCACCTTCTCCACCAGCCGCCCGCCCTTCTTGAAGGAGGTTTTCCGGCACGGCCCTGCCTCGCTGACTGCAGTGGTGCTGGCTGTGGTGCTCCGGCCTGCTCTCTTCTCCTCCTGGCGCTCGGCTTCCCGGAGCTTGGTCTTGGCGTTCACGCTTTCTGAGCGGTACACCTGGTAGGTCTTCCTGGCCTGGGAGAGAGGCCAAGGCCGAGCCACTGCTGCTGAAGTGCACAGCTTGGCCAGCCCTGATCCGGGAGACCCTGCCCCTGCCCCTGCCCCTGCCCCTGCCCCTGCTCCTGGCCCTGTTCCCTGCCCCTGCCCCTGGCCTGGCTTGCTGCCCCTGCCCCTGGCCACTCACCGTCTGCAGCTCCGAGACCACCTCCAGGAGCTCCTCCTGTAGCTGCTGGGCCAGCTCCCTACTCTGGAGGCGAGTTGGCGGGAGGAAGCATGACCACCTGGCCAGATGCCCCTGCGCCCTCAGTCTGCCCTCCAGACCGGGGTCCCTACCTTCCTGACAATGCGCCCCGTGTCCTCAGCCAGGTAGGTCAGACGCTGGACCAGGGGCCCGGCCAGCACCTCGCTGAGGGCTGCGCTGTCCCGGCTCTGCTGCCGGGTCTGCTGCAACAACACGGCCCAGCAATGCAAGGGTGACAGGAGGGACGGCTCCTTCCTGGGGACAAAGAGGCACTCAGACCAGCCGTCTCGGGCAGGCTCTAGCCCAGCACCCGACCCCCTGCCCCCAGCACAGCATCTACCGGAAGTTTTGGAGTTCTCGGCTGCCGCCTAGGCGGCCTCCTCGGCTGGAGAAGCGCTCAGCCAGCTTGTCCAGGCCTCGCGAGTACTCGAGCTCCACCTCTGCGCGTCTCCTCATGAACTCCGCCAGCTCCTGCACCAGCTCCCGTCGTAGGTCCCCCTGCAGCTCCAGGCAGCGCAGCTGCTCACTCAGCTGCCAGCGGATCTCTGCTGGCAAGTGGCAGGAGCTCAGTGGAGGTGGAGACCCCAGATCCCCTGGTCCCGTCCACCCGGAGGGCTGTGTGGTGGCCTGAGAAAAAGCTAGGCTGAGAGGGGAGCACCTTAGTTGTACACACACACACAGACACACACACTGCCACCATGGAGTTGACCCTGACCAGAGCAACCCTCCCCAGGGTTTCCGAGGCTGTCAGTCCTTCTGGAAGCAGACAGCTTCCTCGTTCTGCCTTGGACTGCTCAGTGGGTTTGAACCACGGACCTTGCTAGCAACTCAAAGTTTACCCAATGGTGCCACCTGGACACCTTGGGCTAGAAAAGGCTGAAGGGAAATGGCTGAAGAGGGTGGGGAAAGCAACTCCGGCCCCCATGCAGCCCTCTCTCTTTTTGACTTCTCCTTGGACCCTGGGAAGCCCCGCTTTCATTGCTGCCACTTCCTTCCCTTTTGGTGCCCAGGACCTCGGCCAGGCGGTAAGGGCAGGGCGGCAGCAGGCAGGCTGTTGGAGCTTACCCCCTCTCTCCCACAAGAGAGCAGCCTCAAGGGCCCACAGCGGGCATGCTGACACCTTATCGCCTGTTTGATTTGGCAACGCTGCTTTCCCCACTCAGATGTGAAGCGTGTGGGGGCAACCAACACTCCCTGTCCACCAGGAGCAACACTTGATTTCCTGTCTGCTCGTGGCCCTGCCCAGTGTAAGCAAGGCATTGGCCATGTCCCTGCTCTCCTGGAGATAAGCAGCAAGTGAATGTCGGGAAGCCATGTGCTATCACACAGAGCGACATCCAGGCAGAGCTGGTGCAAGTGGCAGAGGGAGCCAGTGGAGGTGGGGCGTGGGTGGCTAGGACGCCACTGGGGCTGGATCAAGCAACTGGAGAGGCTGTGGGGACAGATGGTGAAGGGCCTGTGACTAGGGAAGGGCTTGGGCTAGACTCTGAGTGACAGGGGAGCCAAAACCCAGAGCCATGTGACTGGGTTCTGCTTTCCAGGGGTAGAGGTGGGGATCCCTCCAGAGTCCTGTTAGCAGCTACAGCAAGAGCCCAGGTACTGTCCTGGGCGGAGGCATAGGGTTCAACCACAGTTGGAAAGAACTCCCCTGGGAACAGTGATTCCTGGGGCCCGAGGGGGTAGGGTGTCCCGATGGGTTTCCTGCGAGATCAGGGTGATGAGGGGGAGACCGGATGCCCACGGGGTTGAGGGCAGTTGGTCTCTCTCCCTGACTGAAGCCTCTGGGGTCAAGCTGGGTAGATGGGGTGGTGGCTTCCTGTCACTGACCCCAACAGCAGGCCAGAGCCATGGATAAGGGAAGAGGGAACTCCTCAATTTCGGGAACCAGTTGGAATGGGTTTTATGTCAATTGAAACCACACAAATCTTATTGGAGTTAAGGTGAATTATATTTCACTCCAAGAATGGTCGAAGCAGCTCCCCGCACCTTCTGCCCGGAGCCAGCCCAGCCCTGGCTGAGGGCTCCTTTCCCAGGAGACCAATTAAAGCGAACAAGGGTGGACCAACTGGCAGACAAAACAATGAGCTTCTGGCTCGGTGCTTACTGCAAAGGGCTACCTTAAGCCAGGCCTCATTCTGGATCAGACATGCGCACTGGCTGCTATCAAGTGTGAGCACAGATGAACTACAGCCAGACTCTGATATGGAGCCGGCGCCCCTAGCGGCAGCCAGTGAGCCTTCGCCCCCTACGGAGCCACCACGAAGCTCCAAGTTCCAACAGAAGATTGGCTGAGAATGCAGCTCTTCCAGGACCACCCCGCCCCCACCCTCAGCTCACGGCCTTTTGGCCACCTCACCTTTTCCTTTTTTGGTGGCTATTATTCTATGTCTCTACATCACAAAAGCGGTCCGAGGACAGGGACTGGCTCGCTCTTTTTCACCAGCCTCTCAGAGCCTGGGACAGAAGAAATAGATACTGTCGTATGGAAGAGGAGCCCAGATGGCATAGTGGTTCCATGTTGGACTAACTGCAAGGTCAACAGTTCAAAACCACCAGCCACTCCGCAGAAGCACAGGGCTCTCGAATTCTGTGGACATACTCTCGGAAAGTCACAAGGGCACTTCCACCCTGTCCTATAGGGTATCTAGAGTCAGAATTGGACTTGATGGCAGTGAGTTTGGTTTGGTCAAAGGAGGGACAGGACCCACACGTTTGAATTCATGGCTGGGACTTGTGCCCTGCTGACACTTCCTGTGAGTTGATGTGAAGCCTGGCTGGGCCGCCCTTTAGGAAGTGGGGGTTGGGCTTTTCTTCTTGAGCAGGGGGGATGGGGAATGGAGGCCAAAATCTTTGGGGCCCCAGAGCAGGCTCACACACATATGTATGTATCCCTCCTGACAGCTTTGGGAAGCAGGATAGGACTAGCATGTTCAACTGAGAAATGGTGAAATCAGAGCTTGGAGAGCTGGCTGGTCCTATGTAAAGTCACCTCCCCTCTCACTGCCTCTGCCAATCAAGCCAGCTGTGTGGGTACAGGAAGTCACCGCACCTCTCTGAGAGACCTAGGGGGCCTGCCTCCTTGGATCATGGCAAGAGATGGGTGCCACCTTTCCTTTGAAAAAGTTACCCCGCCCAGAATAAGGTCCTAAGAAGCTGTGGACTAGGGATTGCTCAAGCTGATTTGCCTGAGATTTGCATGTTCATCCAAACCCAGAGATCTTCTGTCAGAAGGCCATACTCCCTCACTGCCACTGCCAGCAGGGTCAATGGGATCCATTTTGCCCTGGCTGGGATCGCCTACTTTCGGAGTGGCACCTGGGCACACTTCCCTGCCCCTCCTTCCCTGGGCCGCAGCAAGCCCCTGGGGTAGATGCAAAAAGGCCCGAGAACACAAGCAAGGAAGAGGGGGCAGTGGGTCATCACTTCAGAGATCTAGGATGGCGGAGAGGTCAGCAGGAGCTGAGAGTCCCTCTCCTTCCAGCCATCCTAGACCCCGGGGTTTAGCGGCTGGGGGCCTCTCCCGGGGTTCACGCGACCCCAACACTTTAGAAGGGAAGGGAAGGGGTGGCAGCGCCTGGGGCCTTCTCACCTTTGACTTGTGACTCGTACTCAGTCTGCTGCCCCCGTTCCCTGCGCAGTTTCCCGTGCGCGGCCATGGCCGCGCCGTCGATCCCCACTGCTCCCACGCGCCTGAGATCCGAGATGCTGGGACCTCTGGCTCCTCGCTCAAGTGGCTTAGCACACCAGCTCCGCCCCCACCGTCAAGGCTCCGCCCCTGCACCCCGCCTTGTACTGCTCCCCACCCCCAGAGGAGTCCCTGCTCAGGCCTGGCCTTACCCCTCTGTCTCACTGGGGCTGAAAAAGTAAGTTAACACCCTCCTGGGTGCCGTCTCCCACCTCTCCATGCAACATGCACCAGCCCAGGCCCTTGGCCCCTCCCTGCCAATGGGCAGCGAGACCATGGCTAGCCCTGCACTGGGCTCCCCCAGTCTTCTGCTTTTCCCCAGACCCCCCAGAATATTAGAGTCTCCCCCTTCCCAAAGCACTGCCCCTAAAGAGCTGAGTCCCAGAGGTTGGGGAGCCCGCACGGTGGAAACTTTTCAGGGGTTAGGCCACCAAGAACTTGTCCTTGGCCTCAAGTTCCCTTCTGGTGCCTGGGGGGCAATGAGAGCTGGCCTTGGCTTGAGGTTCCCCTTCTCGACCCACTAGCGGCTGCAGGAAGGGGCCTCATTTCTCCATAGGTGGTTAGCACTTCCTGCTGCCGGAAGTGACTGTCCTGCCTCCCCTCCCTGCACTTTGCACTTGTCCCTGGTGTGGGGGGGGTGAGTAAGGAACAGCTCCCCTCCTGCCCCCTCAGAGTAAGGCCTTAAGGGAAGGAGTCTTGGGTTCTCCCTCATTCAGGGGTGCTCCGGTTTCCCCCACCCCTCTCCATCACCTCGAAGCCACAAGACTACAGCTTCTCTTCAGTAAAATGAGAAGGCAGGATGCAGGTGGTGGGTGACTAGCTGACTAGACAACCGCCTTCTGCTTGGTGGGAGGGCAATCCTTGGGGTGAGCGGGAGGCACCCATAACTGGGATTTGCAAGTCAATTAAGTGCAAGTGTGGAGAGCACGTGTGGGCTTGGAAGAGCAGCTGGGGCAGGGACTTCTTGCTCTTAAAGGAAAACCATGTCCCCTACCCACAGTACAACACCTTTATCTGGTTTGCCCTGTATCGTCAGGGCTTGGGACTTCAAGGCCTGGGAGCTGGACTTGCCAGTGCTAATGTAGAAAGCCTCTAGCAATGCAGGCGAGCTGCCCACCATCCCTGGGGGGCACAGGCACACCCATACCTAAGCCTACACATTTGTCAGAAGGGTGACCCACATGTCCCATCACCACCTCAGACCCAACACCCTCTGCCCTTTCTCCATCCTTTTGAGCTGCTTCTGGACCTCAAAGCGCCTTTGTCCATGGGCAGAGCCAGGCCCGGGGGTACTGGCCCACAAGACTGATCTCTGCTTTCAAATGGCTCCCTAGCTGTTAAGACCTTCACTATCATTTCCGGTTTGGCCTGAATTCTCCCCCGCCTCTCCTCGCAAGAATCCCAATGCCTGCCCCCTGCAGAAGGGAACGACCAGACTTCTGGAGACCTGAGAGTCCTGATTGGTCAGGCCTGCTGCGTGGACAGAAGAGCTCAGCGGCGCCTGAATCAACAGCGGGGCGCTCCAAAGATGGGAACAAAGGGGCTTCGGGGATCCGTGTGTCTGGCTTATGCCCTGGAGCCTGCTTCCAGTCATCTGGATACCAGAAGTGCCCCAGAAGCAGGGTGGGAGGATGGTGCTGCGGGGCCAGGCTGGCCGGCGACTTCCCCTCGCCCACCGCACAGGAAACCCAGCCTTTTAGAGTGCATTTGCACCAGCGACATGTAGCAGCGCCAGTCTGGGAAGGAAGGGGGTGTGGCCCACCGGCTGAGCCGCCACTGCGCCTGCGTCCTCACGCTGCGCGCGCGCGCCCCCGCCCAACCCCAAAGGCCAATTTGAGCCTGGGAACCAAGCCTATTTGCCTTCTGAACTGCAAGGAACCGACGCAGGGTGCGGCGGAAGGCGGGGCGAGACTCTGCCAATGCTGTATCCGGAACCAATCAAGAGCACAGCCTGGCCTGAGCATGACAGACTGCGCAGGCGCGCACTTTCGCTCTGAGCCAGCGCTCCCAGCCCACCGGGCACCGTTTCCCCCACCCCGCGCTAGCTGCACGCCCAGGCAGCGCCCTGCACGGGGCCCAGCAACAGGTTGTGACCCAGTTAGGGTTAGGGCAAGCCCTAAGAGTGACATCTACTATGCACACCTTGTGACCCACATCAACCAAGGGCTGCGGACAATGTTGCAAAATGGGTTTCATTGTAACAAATATACAGAAGCAAGTTCCCAGCCAGGCTATGGGGGGGGGGGGGGCGCCACAAAGACGCATGGAGCACAGGGTTCTGTGCACCTGAAACAGGTTTGTGCCTTTTCTGAGAGGGGCCACTGCCTCTGACACACAGGACTTGGGTACTATTTCGACCAGAAAGGGTAGGAGCGTATGTACTGGTGTGGAGGGGGAGGCAGTTGACAGGGTAACTATTTTCCAGACAGGGTGTCTGGGGCCCAGAAGGTGAGCTGGAGACCTGTGTGTGGTGGCCCCTGAAACACATTCATCCTTGGGCAGCTAGAAGGGCACAGCAAGGCAGAATGTGGAAGGTTGTGTCTTAGGCATCTCCCCCAGGAGCCCAGTCGCCCTCCTCTGGGTCTGAAAGCCATCCATCGGACAGGGCAGCAGTCCTGGGTCACAAGCTTGCCAGCTTCACAGCCAGCCAGGCAGAGAAAGGCCAGCATGCACATTGACACAGATTCCCTAGGGACAGGGGTGACTTTTATTGGGCAATCTAGCGGTTAGGGCGAGGTGGTCTGCAGCCTGGTGGGGCTCAGCGCTCGGTCAGGCTCTAGGAGGCCGAGTCAGAGGCCTCTGAGCTGTCCTTGACATCAGTGCTCTCTGTGGTCTCGCTGACTTCACTGAGGTCCTTGCTGTCCCCACCACTATCCTCCCGGGAGGCCTCGCCTGCGCTCGACAGTGAGTTGTTCTTGTTCTCCACGGGCCCCAGCACCACCGGCCTGCCCTTCTCCTTCAGCTCCAGCTGCCGCCTCAGCTGTCACCAGGAGGAAACAGACAAAGGCTTAAGTTCTCCGCACTTGTGGGTGCCAAGGATGGGTGGTTGACAAGAGGTGGGTCACCCTTGTCCCCTTGGGGGCAGAGGACAAGGTGAGAAGCAGATCAGGCTGAACTTGGAGGCCTATGCTGAGTGTGGCTCTGCTGCTAACTTGTTCACAGGCCCTGCCCCTCTCTGGACCACGGTTTCCTCATCTGTAAAATGAGAGTGAGCGGGCCTCCCCATTAAGAAATCTGTGCTCTTACACAGCCCTGGTCTCCCCAGTCCTGTCCTGCCTCAACCCCATGCCTCCCTCGCCTTGCCTTGAGGTCCAGCGCAATCCCCTCTCCCCACCTGACAGCCTAGAAATACTGAGGCCAAGAGGGCTGTCAGTCTCTCTTCCAGGACATTCAGGGCCTTCCTGCCTTTATCAGCCGGGGATGAGAAGCTACAAAGGACACAAGTGCTGCTGGGCCCTGGCAGGACTCTTACCTCATCCGCCATCTGGGTGAGGTCCCGCTTCATGGCATACGCGTCTTCCCCATCTGCGTAGTACTTGGGCTCCACTTCACTGATCCTGGGGCAAGGAAAGTTGGAGGGAGAGGAGGGGAGGTGGGGAGAACGAGAAGGAGGAAGATCTGGTGGCCACAGTGTTCCTGATGTGGCTTCCGAGGGCCTGCTGCTGGGACACTGAGAATAAGAGGCCCAGCAAGTAGACTGCCACAAGGGCAGCCTGTGAGGTAGCGACCGTCTCGGCCATTCAGTCCTGGGTCCACCACCTTCCCCAACAATCCTCCTTGTCCTCCCCACCCAAGGGACGACACTGAGCATGAGCTCAGGGACCATCACTTTTGAGCCCTCCCTCTGACCCAACCCTCCCATGCATCCTGGGTTCAGCCAGCTCCCCGACAAGTTTCCCAGAGCTGAGCATGCTGGGAGTCCTGCTCTCACCCATCCAGTCCAGGGCCCTCACAACTATAAAACCTCCTGGGTGTGTGCCCATCCAGCCTCCAGCTCCCAAGACTTCGGTTATGTCCCCATGACCCAGCCCCTTACAAGATTCCAGATCTACTTACTGGAAATTGAGAGTGTTGGAATAGAGGTGCAGGGCGGCCCGGTTACTGCAGGGGAACAAGGCACTCCTGAGTTACCCAGGCTTGGCCAGGGAAGGCTGAGCACATCTTGACCCCACCCTTTCTGCTGCTCCCTCCGGGAACCCCTGACTCAGTCAAGGTGGTCTCTCCCTTGCCCTCCCTTCTCCTCCCCTTCCCTAGGCTCAGCTTCCACCTCTTCCTGACGTGCAGAGAGACATATTTAGCGTTGAAGTTCTCAATCATAGCTCGGGAGGCCTGGTCCATCAGCTTCTGCGCCAGGCCAAGGCGACGGTGCGAGCGCTTCACAGCCTAGGCACAGGGGTTGCAGGAGTCGGAGCTCAAAAGCTGCCCCACAAACTTCCTTCAACCCAACCAGAGCCTGGAGGTGAGGCTTACGCACCAGTGACGTAATGTGTCCATGGGGCACGTCATCTGGGTCTTCCTCCCTAGAGAGATGAGAGAGCAGGTGGGCTGTGTTGGTTGCCCATCCACAGGGTCCCTGGGTTCCCTCAGTACAGGTCTAAGGGCCCCACTGTCAGGGCAAGAACATGGGACCCTCACAGCAGCAGACCCTGCACCCCACTTCGCTGCCCCAGACCTAACAAAGCACCCACCAGGCACTCATAGAGAAGAGGGCTGAATACATACCACAGGGCAGCTTTCAGGGAGTGAAATAACTATGTGAAACCAGAACAGTGGACGTATGCTGTGTCATCCATCTACCCCAACTTTAGACTTGCCTAACAGGGTCAGACCCCCCCCCTACTGTGACGGGGCTGGAGTGGAGGTTCAGATATGGACATAGTCAGTGTTGCAGGGAGGGCTGGGGCCAAGACCCCCAAGGGAGAGGGCAGGTACCAGGGGGGCAGGTACCAGGGGCTATGCACCTGCCCAGTGCACTACCAAAAATGGCTCTCAAGACACAACCTATTCACGGTTTTCAAAAAGCGCTTCCTCGGCACCTGCCCCTCTTCTTCTCCCCGTCCTTGAACTCACATTTTGGCCAACACATAGCCAACAATCTTCCCATTCTCGTCCTCCGCGATGTAAGAGAGCTGGAGGATCAAAGGAGGAAAAAACTGTCAAGAGGCCCAGGCCCCTCGGAGGAGCTGGGTCGGCGCAGGCGCAGGTCCAGCCTCGCCGCTACCACCCCCTGCCCCCTACCGGCGCGCACCTGAGGCCAAGAGAGGCCGTGGTAGAAGTAGTACTTCATCTGGTAGTTCTCCGGGAGGCACAGCAGGTTGCAGTGCTGCATGTTCATCAGGTCCTCGGGCTGCATGGTGGCCGCGGGGTCAGAGCCGGCCGTTGGGCCGCGCCCCCTCGGCCAGGCCGAGGTCTGTCCGACGAGGACCAGCCACGACGGGCGCGCCATGCCAGGAGCCC